AATCAAAGAAGAAAGCCGAAAGTGCGAAGCACAGGGAGATAGAAGAGGAAATTATATCACAACATAAAACCCACAAGCAAACAGTAAGAAAGGTACTAAACAACATGGAGGCGCATAGACTACCAATTTTGTCTTTTGGAGCAAACCGAGTCTCACCAAGACTGAGCATTCGGGTCAAAAACAAAATCAAATGCAGCAAGAGCATGACCACAGGATTTAATCACTTTGATTTAGGTCAATTGTTGGTACAGCTTGATCAGCTAGCGGTAGAGAATGCAATAAGTAAAGTAAAAATATATTTAAATGATATTATTTTTAATTCGTGCACAATTGAAGAATTCATAAACGAAGGAAATAAGATATTGAAAAATGTAGAAATATACATATGTGAAGTACCAGAAGTCATAGAGGACGAACAAGAAAAACTAAGAATAATAGAAGAATACCATAATCACCCGATGTTTGGAGGTCATGTGGGAAATAATAGACTTGTAAAGAAACTAAAAGCAAGATTTAGATGGAAGAACATGGAAAAGGACGTACGTAAATATAATAAACAGTGCCATAAATGCCAAATTAATAAACCAAAAAGATCACATGTCGAAGAATTTGTGATATCGGACACTTCGTCAAAACCATGGGACATAGTGTATATAGACACGATAGGTCCATTCCCTAAAAGTAGTGAAGGCAATCGATACTGTATCACGATGATTTGCGAACTGACGAAATACGCAGTAAGTATCCCAGTAGCTAATAAAGAAGCTGAAACGATATCTCGTGGAATTTTTGATAATTTCATACCTACATACGGACTCATGAAACAGATTAGAACGGATCAAGGCACGGAATACAAAAATGAAGTAATGAATGAATTAACTAAAATGCTAAAGATCACACACAATTTTTCAACAGCATACCACCCTCAGTCAATAGGGAGTTGTGAGAAGCTACATAGGACACTAAATGAATACGTAAGATCATTCATAGACGACAACAAAGAAAATTGGGATATGTGTTGCAGAATGTTCACATACTGTTACAATACTACCCCTAATGCATATCACGGTTACACACCTTTTGAATTGTTGTATGGGCGAAAGGCAAATTTACCAGAAGATCTCACACAGGAAATTCAACCATGCTATAACATAGATGCCTATTACAATGAGGTCCGATATAAACTACAAATCGCACACGACAGAGCTAAAACGTTCTTACTAAAACACAAAAAGAAAAGACAAGACGCAAGCAAGCTAACTGCAGCACCTCAACATTTTAAAATAGGAGATCTAGTCCTGCTCAAAAGAGAAGAAAATAATAAGTTTGATAGTCTTTATGCAGGTCCTTTTGTCATAACAGAATTAAATAATGTTAACTGTAAAATTAGGCTAGATAACGGAAAGATTAGGGAGGTGCATAAAAATAGATTATACGCTTACAATCAGTAGACACAAGTGAACGCGGAGATTTTATGAGACAATATTAATGATATCGCGGGAAAAGTGAAAGGACAAATGAATAAACTATTTTACCACATATGTTTTAGAGTTAAGATAATGTATATATGTACACAGTAGCATAGGTAAACAGTACTTACTTGAGGTTGAAAAATTTCTCTTCTTCCGAAGGGAAGGAGAGAGAGGAATAAGACAGTTGTAAAAGAGAAATTTTTTTCCCAAAAGGGGATGGTGTAATATCAACCCTTAAATATCAGAATTACAGATAAAATAATATTATAATTCATACTCGTGTAATATTTTGTTTATGTAAACATTCGGTAATTTAAATCGAGGTCATTCATATATAACATACTCTAATTAAAACAGCCAGTCAGCACTCTAGTAAAATTGCACGACTTACTTGTGGTGTAGGTCAGGGAATACACTTGACACGAATAGTAACAAGAGCGCTGAGTCACCAAGGCCGAGGCTATTAAAAGCAACACCAATCATTCTCGGGGATCTTAATTATTATACCGACACTATGGCCAGCGTCAATTAAGTACTGATATATTTAAGTTTATAATAGTGAAATATTGTACAAAGCAGTGATTAATAAATGGGCAACTAGATACAACAATATTATTTACTACCCAAGATAATATTTACCATACGCGCAACGAGAAAAAAACTGAATCGGAAAAATTTGCAATATCTCGGTGAAAAATGAAACGATTTTGATGATTTTTTTAATCTAGGGCAGCTTGTCGAAATAATAACATCTGGAATACTTTCACCCATAAAAAACCACCCCCAACACCCCTAATTTTGTTTAATATTCAATTTTTTTTTTCGATTCTTTTACTTTTACTAGTAGTAGATTAAACGTAATCTACTACCAAATTATTATTGGGAACATCCCCATTTCTAAAACAAAGTAATATTCTAAAATATAGACTACTATTATTTCAGTATTTATCTTTTTTTTTTTAATACTTACTCTGCCTCGCTGTGTAATCTTTTATCAGTGAAAAATTATGTTAAAGTTCAAATGAGTAAAATTTCTATTTAAAAACAATTCTATTTTTCAAAAAAAAAACTTTTGGTCAAACTAGATTTTTAGTACAATTTCATGAGAAATTAAATAATTGGTTTAATAAACATCATATATACGTACCTATATCTTAAATTTATAATTACTTTGATAGAAGGAATACGTTAGTAAAACAAAGATATAAACAGTAAAATAATTGTAATTTATTTACATGGTTTTAAAATGAGATTCAATATTTATAAAATCAGAAATACGCTTAGTTTTCTGAGAATCAGAATTTTCCTCAGAATCATATAACAATTCATCCAAAACATCCATCTCACTTTCACATTCTTTTTCTGCGTCATCTAGTTCAAAGTCAGCAGTACGACAATTTTCGCAACTCTCTCCATTACAATGTTCGCACATTCTTGTACATTTTAGGCCGTGCTTACGGCATCCGCAATGTTTGCCACATGCGGTTTCGGCGCTACATTGAAAAAAGGTTAAAATTTATTCGTTATTTTTACAAATAAATAATGATTTTAATTTAAGGAGAATACAAATACTTAAAAATATAGTTTTTTAAGTAGTAAATGACGCCAGATTTGTTTCTGAAGTATTGTTATTAATAAAGCCTCAGTGATTTAAAAAAAAAATATGCTAACTCGGCTCCTATCGGTCGTAAAAAACTCTTTTTTTAAATCTTCGTCTCGAAGACAGGTACAATAATCTGCAAATTAAAAATTTGTAGGGTGCATAGGGGGCGCTGCAGCTCTAAATGTTTATAACTGCAATTTTACAACTTCATAAATAATTGTTTTTAACGGGTTAATTTTTTTTTTCATTATTTTTCAGTTGATTATGAAAACTTACGGCTTTAGAAAGAGAAGGAAACCAGAATTACCACTCTACCATTTTTTTTGGCAATCCTATGATCATTCAAAGTTGAAGGACATGGGATAAACTAATTAACGTAACTCAGCAAAAAATTAAGTGATCTAGGCCTACTATGGCTCATTCGATTCGTAATTTTATAGGCTTGAATGTCATACATTTGAAATAAATAAAAAAGCAATTTTTCAATAAATATTACGTTTTTTAATTTTGACCTTCATTCGTCATTTTTGCAACAACAAATAAATTAAATTGAACGTATACCGGCTCAAACTGAAGGACTTTTAGAGTACTTTCATAATCTACACAGAAATTTTACATTACAATACTTACTTTAGGCAAAAAATGAAAAAAACTCAAAAAATATGAATTTGCACCTATAAACGCACATAAATAAACAATAACCAAAAATTTTTTGTTGAATGAAACTGGAGGATTGCTACTGAGGTTGCTTTTGATAATCTAGGTCACATTACATAAATTCCTGGATTAGAGAGTACTTAAATGAAATCGTAGGCTTCCACGGCCAGAGTCAGAATTATAGTTTATTCGTCTTCCGGGTTTGGACCGTGTCATTTGTGAGTGACCCAAAAGTGGGTTCATCTCGACGTTTCGCTACAATTATATGTAGCTTCTTCAGGAGAACAAAGAAAAGGAAAAAAGAAAACAAAAGAACAGGAAGATGGGTAGTTAGCAACGGTAACTCAGTTACTCAACGCAACCAGAGGCGAATACTAACTACCAAGATGGGCATTTGGTCACAGTAACTCAACTACTCAACGCAGCCAGAGGTGAAAACCAAATGCCAGGACAGGGATTCACGTCCAACAGCTCAGAACACTAACGCGTCGAGAGGCGGGGAGTGAATCCCTAGGATCCGAGGATTCACTCCCCGCCTCTCGACGCGTTAGTGTTCTGAGCTGTTGGACGTGAATCCCTGTCCTGGCATTTGGTTTTCACCTCTGGCTGCGTTGAGTAGTTGAGTTACTGTGACCAAATGCCCATCTTGGTAGTTAGTATTCGCCTCTGGTTGCGTTGAGTAACTGAGTTACCGTTGCTAACTACCCATCTTCCTGTTCTTTTGTTTTCTTTTTTCCTTTTCTTTGTTCTCCTGAAGAAGCTACATATAATTGTAGCGAAACGTCGAGATGAACCCACTTTTGGGTCACTCACAAATGACACGGTCCAAACCCGGAAGACGAATAAACTATAATAGAGAGTACTTTTTCCCCCACAGCCTGGGCTATATGTTGTTTACTGTGACTGCAAACAACGAACCGTTTGTTTCGTTTAGTAGTGATACTTTCGTAACTCTCGCCTCAACATTTTACTATAAAGAAAAAATAATACAATGCTAGTATAGAAGCTTCACTTCAAAAGTACAAGACTGTGCATTTTTTTTAAGGAATAACAGTTTTATGAGTAAATGGATAAGTTCTATAACTAAGATAATAACTAAATTAAGAAAAGATAGTATAAGCGAATGAGGATTAACTGACGAAAATGGGTTCCTAAAAGATACGATGGAAATGAGAAATATCCCAAAGAAAGGTCACTAAGAGCGGTAGTGCTAATTTGTGATGATTAAGATAAACTTGTGTTTTTGGTCATTCTAAAAATCAACTTACATGCTAGAATAAACGATTTTCTTATAGCTTTTGGAGACATTATTTTATTCCTCTTTAATTTATCTCCAATGAACCCATACGCCATACCAAAGATCATTCTCGTTAGATGAGGTAGAGCTCCTAATATTCCTGCTTCTTTAAGACTAAAACCAATAACTTCTGCCATGAATTTGGGTACGCTCTGGAGTTGTAAATAGAGACCCCACAAATTTCCGAAATGCAAAATATTTAAGATCCAAAAGGGAAAACTCAGGAAAATCTGTTTGTATGGAGGTGCATGCTAAAAATAAAAAAAAAATGTTTATTATATATATATATATATATATATATATATATATATATATATATATATATATATATATATTTAAAGAAGAATATATATAAAGAAGTAATGAATTATGTGGTACAGCTGCAGCCACTGAATTTATACCTTTATTTTTACATTGTAATACTGTCAAATTAGTGATTTACGGATTTGTTAAATGTCAAAGTACTTGTCAAAAATTTCCCAAGTATTGAAAACTAAAATAAAAATAAAAAAAACACAGAAGTTAAAACACTTCACAATTGTGTATTTTGGTATAAAAACATACAAGTACTTAAAAACTTTTTAAAAGTGTCGTCAACATTTAAAATTATGGCAGAACGTTTTCAATCTATACAGATCATCTTCAGTGCCTTTGGCATTTGGTGCTAACAATTTAGTGTCTATAAGACTTCCAAGTGTTGGTTTAAAAATTTATCACATTTTACATTTAATAATGTTGAGAGTCTAGGTCGATGACAATGGAATTGGTTTTAAATTAAAATTTACTTTAGGGACTACATGTCTCATACTTGCACGTGGTACTTGTCAGTTGAAACGACGACACAGACCCGTGACAAGTCGTTTCAACTTGCAAGTACCACGTGCAAGTATTCGAGCTTAAGAGACATGTAGTCCCTAAAGTAAATTTTAATTTAAAACCAATTCACACCAATTCAAACCAATAATGAAAAAGTGTTTCAATCATATAGCAATGATAGAATAAGCATTTATAGGCCGAGAAATCATTAGGTGTGATGAATACTTATCGTATTATCGGTATACTTATCGTTTAAGAAATAGTGGAGGATTCTCGGTCAACGTATGGGATGGATAAGTGCTGAAGGCCCGGTTGTTTGTTCTCATATAGAAGAAAACTTGTGCGAGAGGGGTGGAAGAAACTAATGTTAATTTTCTTCCTGTTGCCTTAACACCATCGAAAATGTATGGACAGAGTTGACAAAGAAATTAAATGAAAGAAAACTTGGACCACAGAATAAAATTGAACTGTGGGAAGCAATTAAACAGGCATGGAGGGAGCTTGTTGAATATAACATGAGGAGATAGGTGCTATCTATGAACAGAAGATTGCAAAATTTTATTAACAATAATGGCTCTTCCATCAAATGTTAATTGTGTTCCTCTTTCTCATTATTTAATATAAAAGATATTTAACATAAAATGGATATTTTTAACCCAGACTTTCTTGTTTTCGTTATTAAGAATATAATCCATTTTATTCAAAAAAACTTTTTTCTGTAATTTCCATTTTGTTACAGTTTGTAAAATATAAAGATCACGACATTGTTTTATTGACCATACAACTCAAAGGCAATCGGTGTGACATGTTACACGTTTCCACCTCTATACTCATTTCATAGTAGGTACGAACTGTCGTACATGTTACATTGACATTAAAAATTAAAAAAAAAATCTGAAAGAATAAACAAATAATTAATAAAATGCCTATTATGTTCTGTCCAAGAAAAAGTGCAACTTGTAACATGGTACTTTCAGGGTAGTTCGATACGCGAAGTAATTGATTTATTTATTGTTAGGTTCGAAAATAGACCCCCACCTTAAACATTTTCAAACTTTGGGATGTGTAAACAGTTGTAAAAAGTGTCATGAAGGTAATGAACCACGTGTTAGACCTGTCGATGAAGAACGTCAAAACAGAGATATTAATATTTGTGCTTTTGTGGAAGCTAGTAAACCCTGCAATAGTGTACAAATTGTTAGGGAAGTTAATGTGAATACTCGAACTGTCCAGCGAGTTCTTAAAAGCAATGGGTCTCACTGTTTTAAGATAAAATCAACACAAGAACTGTTTCCGGAAGATAACTTTAGGCGGAGGGTGTTTTGTATGTTGGATAAACAGAACGAAAATGTACACCTTTTAAAAAATATTTCATTTTCTGACGAATCTTCATTTTCATTACACAAAAAACACAATACATCCATTGCACGGTATTATTCTCGGAAAAATAAGTACCTCAGTGTTATAGTGCGAACGCAGCAACCGCAAAAGTTAAATGTTTGGACTGGGATGTTGACGACCACATTATCGGTCCATTTTTTTTATAGACACCTAAACGGGTCAAGCTATTTACAACTTTTACGGAATGAGATCATTCCGGCAGTTCGACGCCTTCTCGTTAATTTTCAGCAGATTTATTTCCAACAGGATGGGTGTTCGGCTCTCAACTCTAGAGCAACAACTATTGACTTCCTTAAACAAACGTTTCCTGATCGACTGAAAGTACACGTGGTACAATTAAATGGCTCGCTAAATCCTGTGACTTATTGCCTAACGATTTCTTTTTTTGGGGTTTTAAGGGCCACAAACCTAGTCGAATTAAGGGCAAAAATATTTCATTTCTCTGCAAGAATTACACTAGCCCTATTTCAAAATATGAGGAGAAATCTGTATAACAGATTTGGTTACTGCTTAGCACAAGGAGGTGGAATATTTGAGCCCTTAATTCATTAATCTGCTTTCCTAATTTTTATTTTTTAGTAGGTACATTTTATGAAGTTTGTTGGTTCTTAATTAGGTAGTATTTTTTATGTTTAAGTTTGGAAGAATTTTATTGTTTTTTTTTTTAACGATTCTTATTCTATTTTTTTTCTCCTATCTTGTCTTATTGTTGTAAGGTTTGCATATTACTTATTTACTTATTTATTTGAATTGCTATTAAGGCTAAAAAATAACCAAAAAATTAGATTTAGAGCATTATAATAAATATACTTTAGAGATGGGATTGCAATAAATTTAATTCTTATGGCCAATAAAACAATGTCGTTATCTGTATTTATTTTATTCTGATTTTTTCATCCTATTCTGGGTTTACCACAGGCAATTAACGTCATTTTGACATAAAATGTGCGTTTAAACGAGGTGAAAATTAAAAAAAATCAGCTACTGGATATGTAAGGGTGTAAACTATTCAATGGCCGAGAATTTAGGCACAACTATAAAATACAAATTGTAATATCTCTAGTTACTCCCAAATTTTAGACATATTACTAGATTCTTAATTGATGGCTATAATGGGACTTGTATTGAAAATATTGTTGTAAATGTTGATATTAACTACAAACAAAATCGATAATGTAAAAAAGGATAATGAAACTTCAGTTTTACGAACTATACAAAAAATACAAATCGGTATATTAATGTAAGATCCATACTGAGCAATGAAACTTTTTATCAAAGAAATTAAAGGCAGTCGAAACAAATATGTTTTCTTAAACATTTTTTAGAATTTTCCTTGCAGTTTCATTGGAATCTCTCTGTCACATAACACACCACTTGTTTTCTCCTACATCATTTATCCCTGTCCCCATCCTGCTGCATTATCACCATTAATCTCACCATAATTACTCTGTAATACCATTCATAGGTGCTAAAACTGTTATTTTTTTAAATCTTTTTTTTCCAAGAGCTTTCTGCCCTCCGCAGATTCCAGGAGCTTCTTGACCCGGAAAACTAGCACCTGCTAAGGGTCTCTTGTCCAGGGTCACAGATGAAGTCCAGAACGGCATCCAAGGAGACGAAGAAATACTTTCGGTACGCCGAAGATGGCGGAGTTGGCAACCCTTGATTTTAGGAAGAGTATAAAACCACAAACCGCGGCGTCTGATCCAGAGTGGGCGGCCGCAAATAGCGTCGGACCCAGAATGGGCGGCTGAAACAAACACTCACCAACACGTCTAGTCAACGTGAATATTAAAGGCTAAATACCCCACACGAAAATCTCAGTTGAAAACACGCAAATACCCCAGGCAAGTAGGAAATTATTTCCAGAATCTTGCACTGATAAATATCAGTGTCCCATGGATTCTGAGGGGGGGGGGGGGACAAAAAATTGACAAAGACAGGAAAAAGTTACCCGAATAAGACGACACTTTATATAGGAATCCTATATGTTGATGTTCCCTACTATCTGATGAAAGATTTACTGATCTTAAGTGAGACCTAGAAAACATAAAGTGAGACATAGTCGGTCTCAGAGAAGTCAGAAGACGTGGCGAACACTTACTTAAACTAAAATCAGGACGTAGTTTTTACCACGTAGGTGACGACAATAATTCCTTGGGACGAACCGGCTTCATTATACACAAGCCTCTCGAAACAAGTGTAGTATCACTAAAGAAATTTTCCACAAGAGTAATTTGTCTTACTCTCAAATTGAATACAAGGCATAATATGAAAATAATACAGGTTTACATCAACAACAGACCATGATGACGAAGAAGTGGATCTATTCTATGATGATATCGAAGCTGCTCTTAAAGACCATCAAGGGCATTTTACTCTTATATGTGGTGATTTTAACGCCAAAAAAGAATGAAATTCAACCCTACAGAATCATCACTGGGAAACTTTGGCTTGGATGGTAGAAATAAACGTGGCGAAATACTGTTAAGGTTCATGCTGCAACATGAACTATTCCAAATGAACAGATTTTTCAAAAAGAAACCACAGAGAAGATGGACATGGCAAAGTCCTAATGGAAAAACTCAAAACAAAATAGATTTTATTAACACGGACAAAAAACACACCGTTAAAGACATCATGATTTTAAACAGGTTTTTTGCCAGTAGCGAGCATATAATGGTACGAGGTAAAATAGAAATAAGCTTAAAGAAGCAGAGGTATCAGATGATTAAATTAAAAGAAGAACAAATCAAAACCATGGATGAAACCATCAGATGTAGATAGTTTTCAGCAATGTATTTCCGACATACTTAGTAGTCTTGAAACAGAAAATAATATAAACGACTTAAATAATAAATTAACAAATGCTTTACTGAAAAGTCAAAACAAATTCTATCCTAGAACTCAAAAAGAAGAGATTAGCCAAAATACTAGGCAACTAATGCAGAAAGGAAGATAAATGACAAACGAGATGGGAACTAAAGCCGACGAATTACAAAAATTAAATAAAGAAATATCCAAAGCTGTTAGA